AAAGAAAGCCCGTTTCAGCAGTTTGTACCCAGGTTCGAAGTTTTTCAGCGATGGTCCACGATTCATGACCGTAGATAATATGGGGATAAAGATCGACTTGAGCACTGAGAACTTAGCTTTCAGACTGAGCTCTGCCTTAGTCATGATGGATCGGGCTGGTTCACCCAGAAACCCACTGCCTACTCCAATTCGCTGGTCGATCCGATCTCTTCCTCAAACTTTCCGCCTCCACATCTTCGTATGGTACTCCATTTCTTACAGCACAGCATGCCAACAACAAGGTGATGATGGTTGATAACACTGCGCCTCTCTTAACGCGAACATACATTGCTGAGCGTCTTAAGTGAGACTATACTATTATCAAATCGATCATCGACTTCTGTGCACAAGTTTTCCTATACCACGTATGCTGATGCACTTTTCGATGCTCGAAGAAGGTGTTCATAATGGACAGACCGTTGTTTGCACAAAACCCGAGCAACTTCATGCCATGATTGTTGGGGTCGGTAGGGGCGTTCTTTCCGATCTTGCCTTTCCACTTTTCAGCGTCTGCTGAAATATGCTTATTAAAATCACCCAGTACAATAAGACTTCTTAGTCGGCACTTCATACAGAGCACACTCCACTTCCTCAAAGAAGGACTGTATTTTCTTTCGTAATTGGGCGCATAGATCTGTAACAACGCTTTATGCTGTTTCAGATCTGGTCGTAAAGTTGCCTTCACTCTTACACTGACAGGCTTTCATTCATTGATTCTATCAGCTAGGTTGGGTTCTACCAGAACACCAACGCCGGCCTGAGGGCGCGTGGTACTGTCGACACCTGAGTAGAATATCTTCCGCCCGCAGAGGTTGTGCATTCCAGAGCTTCGGTGCTTCGTTGACGACAGCCGAATTAGATGTAGTTGGCACCTTGCGGCTTCATCAACTCGGTCTTGTTCTCTCCCTCTAGTAAGGATTTGTTCCGATTTCCGACTGTATGCTCCCGTGGAGCCTTATCTGACGTGCTATAATGACATAGTCCTCTCTCCTCACCCACCTAGGGGACTGTTTAAACATCCTTTAGCATTTAAACGTGTAGTTCATAGGGCACAAGACCTCGACGCTGAATTCAGGTAAAAAGGGTTTGTTTGAGTAGAAACATACTTGCCGCTCTCTTTTGGCAAAATATACAGAAAATGAAAAAACACGC